CCAAACCTAGGACCTGCAGACAGAAACATAAGCAAGAGAACAAATGCTTGTTCTTGTAACCTGTAAATTTTGGGGTGGCTTGTTTTGCAGCATTATCACAGCAATAACTGACTGATACACCTCTGTTTAGGAGTAGCTGACAGATACACCTCTGCTTAGGGGAGTTATCCAGCCCAAAAGGGATATTTCGAAGAACTACAGCAACGGACCCATAGATAAGGAAGCCACCCAGAATACAAAGGTGGCTCAGTCACAGCAATGAGGCCTTGTAAGAATGGGCCAAGGGATTCAGGTCCCTGGAAGATGCACTTCATGGATTGACTCTGGCTCAAGGAGCTGGAGGAGACAGAAGCCAGTGGGCATTCTTTTAGTTGTGCTCTACCAGACTGAGGGAAATTTTCTCCCCACTGCCCAGTTTTCAGCAAATGAGGAAAAACTTTAATCTAAAAATTCAGAGATGCTGGCTATTTCTTTTCTGTCAAATAGAGCACTCGAGAAATGATACTGTTCTACTCTGCCCTCAAGGTCCCTTGTGACCTCAGACCTACAAGACTGGACAGTCCAGTGAGCAGGTAGAAAGTTCCTGCAGGGAATTGTGTCCTCAGAAACTCAGAAAGCAGTTGCTGGGCAGTAGGACGTGGCTGGAGATTAGATGACTGGGCAGGCCCTTCTTGGAGTTAGGGGTAGGGTGGGAGGTGGGAGATATGCAGTGGAAAGGGTAGAGCCTTTAATGTAGAGGCAAGATTCTGGCCGGGCCCCTGAATCTGTCCTTTAATGCAGCTTCCTCAGCACTGGAGTCCCCACTCTTTGCAAATGGTTGACTGGTATCCTTACTTTTCCGACCTGTTTTGAATTTCTATCCTCTTTTTAGTTCTTTGTTGGTGTTTTAAGGGGCGGGGTCTTATAAATGGCTTAGTAGGATGCCACCTTAAGATAGGAAGTATCTGTCTGTGACTTAAAACAAACCTTTCCTACACCAACAGTGTGTATGACCTTCGGTATTGCAGTCAGGAGGAAATTTGTGTATGGACAATCAGAGTCACCGCTATATGTTTTACCAAAGTAAGTATTAGGTAGTGAAGACAGTGTTGGAGCTGGAAATGTGGATTTGGGACATGGATGCTCCTATGGATGGCATTGGAGGAAAGAAAAGAAAAAGAAAGAAAAAAGTAGAACTTCAGGAAATGCTTAAATTTAGGGGGAGGTGAAAGAGGGGCAGGAAAAAAAACTTTCCTGAAGGGTTAAGACAGGCATGAGCCTAGCAGGAATAATAGGCCACATACGGAATGTCACCAGGGCAGAAAGTCCTACATGCCTAGCAATGGGCAAAACGTGGAAAATAGTATTATAGGGTAGGACCTTACCCTCAGAGTGACCTTTCCTCCCCTGGCATGTCACTTCATGCTGTTTAGACCCCTGGACCTTTTATATCGCTCATCATGTGGTTTAGATCCCCTTAGAGGAGGAACAAGGGGGCCAGAGAATAGACTCCTGTGCAAGCCCTTGCATGGCCAGTCCCTTAAGCATTAAGCCCCCAGGACAATGAGGTTCTGACCCCCATTAAAAAACTGTAGGACCAAAGCCTCAGGTCTGTTGACCACAGAGACAGAGCTTTAGTCAAACTAGAGATGACATTTAGGTCTCAGTTGGTTTCATCTTCAGGCCCAGAAAAGAAGCAAAATCAGATGAAGCAATGCCATGGCTGACATCAGGACCAGATACAAGGATTAATGACCCCCTACCTTCGTGCTGACCAATCAGTAGAGACCACGACCCTGAAAGGATGCAACTGGAAAACCGATGAATATTCTATTGAGATCCTCCCCTAAGTCTTTAAGGCAAGGGACCCAGTATATTCTCTCTCTCTCTCTCTCTCTCTCTCTCTCTCTCTCTCTCTCTCTCTCTCTCTCTCTCATAGGCCCGAGCCTTTTCCCTCTTCTCTCAGGAGTGTTACCTTTGCATTCCTTCTCCTGAGCACCAAGGGCCCCTCTTTTGCCTCTGTAACTAGTTTCCTGAGCCAGTTTCTTCTACCTCTCACTTCTTCTATCTCTGTGACTTTCTAAATAAACTTCCGCTTGTATTTGAGTTTTGGGCTCTGAGTTCTTTCTTAGCTGAACGCAAGGACTGAGGTCTAACATCTAACTCCACCAGTGACAGGGCTTCCACAAATATCAGTGTCGAGGTCCCTGGAGCTGCCTCCAATGCATCTCTCATTCTGGCTCCTGGCTCTGAAGGCTCAGACTTTTGTGGCCCCAGTTTCTGGATTTCTTCTTGATTCCAAATTCTTCCTGCAATTTCCACTTCATTCTCACCCAGACCAGAGCAATTTGAGAATATACTAGCAGGCTGGGCCCTATTCAACATTCCCTTTGTTTCCCTGTTTCTGCCAAGAGGTGGGTTGGGAAAGGGAAGAAATATCAGCCCAGCCTAGCCGCAGAGTGAGTGCAGCACCCGCTTCCCCAAAGTCCCACTTCCAGTACCACCTGGGCCCACCAGGCTCCCTAGAGAGCTATTCTGAGCAGGGAGCCTGAGGGACTGGTTTAGCCTTTACGAGCATCTGGTTTTGTGCTTTGCTGAAGCCACGGGAAGGGGAAAAAAAAAAGAAATTTTTTCCAAGTAGATGGTGAACATGTAACCCCCTGGGGTGTAACAGGATGGGAATAGAAACAGGGTCAGGGGGGCACTGAGGAGATGGAGTTATGACAGGTCACTGAGGGGAGGGCCACCAAGGTCCCAACCTTTCCCCAGTGCCTGTCGGCACCTGGAGCAGTGGCGGTGTAGGGGGCCTTTTGGGGAGCTGGGGCTCCAGGTGGGAGGATTGGGTGGCCTGGAGGGCACGTGGGGCAGGTGGTCCTGCAGAGGTTCAGGGTGCAGCTGGCTCTCCAGCTGGGGGAGGACTAGGCTTTAGCTCCTGAGTATTGATAGGACCAGATGGGGTGAGGGTCTTACAAAAATGGTGATGTTGAGCCAGCTACCAGGTGGACAATGGTGCAATGTCCCAGGGAAGGGTCAGTGGACCCATAAATCCAATCTATATATAAAAGCCTAATATGCAAATTGTCCCCACGGGAGTTTGACCGGGAGACTGATCGCTTGCTATGACGTGTGCTGACCACCAGAGAGCAGCGAGGAACGAAGGCCCCAGCCGGCAGCAAGCAGCCAGGGAAGGGAGGCCCCAGCCGGCAGCCAGAAGGAAGGCTCTGGCTGGCAGCTGGAAGGCCCTGATTGCCAGTCAGGCCTAGGAACCCTATCCGTGCACGAATTTCATGCACCAGGCCTCTAGTATTTAATAAAAACTCTTACCCAGTCCTGAGCAGCCATGGGAACAGACAGCCCTCTCCCCGATGGACACAGATGTGGATTCTATCAGTGGACTCTTAGCCAGGGTGATCTTGATGTGAGCTACCAGGAAGACTGAGAAATGCTCAGGGATTAGATCTGGGCAAGATATCTGGTAAGGAGGTCTTGGGGAAGATAATGAGGTGTGGAGAGGACAGGCAGGCTCAGGGCCTTGGGGAGCCTGAAGCCTCAGCATCAGTGGCCTTGTCATGCCTGCAACAGAGCAGATGAGATGCTTTGCAGAAGGTGAGTGGGCTTGCATCTGGGGTGTCTAGGGGCCATCCCGGGGAGAATGAGCACACACCTCTGGATCTGGAGCTAGACCCTTGGGAGACATTTATGTGTGCGATCGAGGTGATTTTGAATGGGTGAGATTGTGTGGAGAGTTGAGAAAAGGAAGAAGAAAACCTGGGGGACATTTAAGGACAGAGAGAGGCGCCTGCGCAGGAGAGGAGTGTGGTCAGGGGACCAGAAGAGATCCCAGGGGCGGGGCTCAGCAGCGGAGGGACATCTCAGGAAGCAGGAGTGGCCACCAGTGTGAACTGCAGCACAGACAGATGATGGGAGGAGATCAGGGAAATGAAAGGTCCCAGGTGACTTGCAAAAGTGGTCCTGTGGAATGCTGGGACAGAGTTCCTGAAAGAGTGTGGGAAGCAAGGCAAGATGGGTGGCAAGAGCCCAGCTTGAGAGGGAGGGTGGACTGGAGCTAGAGGTTTTGGGTGGGAACAGGAGTGAGGCTTTCTAAGGGGCGGGGGGGGGGGGGGCTCGGGTAGGGCAGGTCATGGACAAATGCCAGTGTCTTTGGAGACTTGCTTTTTTCCCCTGTCACATCTCACAGGACCATGCCCTTCTCACTAACAAACTCCCTCATTTCTTGAGGATTGTGCAAAGGAACTCTTACCCCCATTTTGATGGGTACTGAGTCCTCCCTATTTCCCAAATCACCTTGGCATTTCAAGGTGATAAAAAGGGACAATGGCCCCTTTTTATATGCACGACAGGGACAGTCTTTAATGAGTTGTGTGGGCCAGGCTGGGGGTGGGGGGAAGCTAGGGCACCTGAGGTCTCAGGAAATGGTGCAGTGAATGCACTTCTTCCAAATCACTGGCAAGAGGCTCCCTCCTCCAGAAGGGCTGTTGCTACTCCCTCCATTCCTCTTGGCCACTTTACAACTTTCTGGCATGTCCTGAGACCAAGGGCAGCGGCTCAGTGCTTTATTGATGATCAGAACGGGGTCCCTGGATGCCCCTGTTGAAGCGCAGCCTCTCTAGGCCTCTCCCCCATCTCCTGAAGGCTGGGTACTTGGTATGGGGGGACCAGGAGGAGGCAGCTGGTGCAGAGCGCTGCTGTGCCCAGGAGACGGCTGAGGCTTGAACATTGGACATGTTTTGCTGATTGATCATCGTGCCGACAGAAAGTACTGGCCAAGCTGCCCACACTGCCTGCCTCCATGTCCACTGTCATGGGGGCAAGGAGGCTCCCTCCCCCACTAAAAACCCTCCTGATGAAGACTCCCTCCCCACCTTGCTCCCTTGTCCCCACTATTGACCTCCGGTGGCTTACCTGCCCTGACATGTGGGAACCAATGTTCACCCTGCGCAGGGACCCTCCCCTGCTATCGACCCCTGCCCAGGAGCCCAGTGTTCAATCCTCTGATACTGGAGCCCTGATTTGACCAACAGCCCCCACCCCTGTGAGACCATAAGGGCTGTCCCCCAGTGACCCCAGCTGTAGGGTGGCCAAAGTGCTGCAAAGTGGGGCCCTCCTGGGGTGGCAAGCATGGTTCCTGGGTAGGTGTTCTCTCACTCACCATGCACACCTGTCTACTTGGGCTTGTATATTTTTTCTTGTAACGTTCCACCCGTTTAACTGATGACTGCATCACAGGTACATCTGGGGAGACTGGCAAAGCGGAAATTTGTGTTTATGATTACTGTTTGTTTCCCAAGACTAGGCGTGTGAATTTAAAACCTCCTCCTCCTCCAGAGTCCTTTGGTCATGCTACAAGTCCCAAAGGGACAGTTAAAGAGCCAGTTAAGTTGAAACTAGAAAGGTGCACGAATACCCAATCTATCCTGTTGTGGGCCTTCAGTACTTGAAGAATTCTAGAAAAAAAAAAGTAGTTCTTTATAGGTTATAAGCTAAGGAGGGACAGTTTGCACGGTTTGGACAAAATAGAAGTACTCTTGCCAATAAATATGTCTCAAAATGACAAATAAAGCTCTCCCCATGTGACAGCTCCGGATCCCAGCGGGAGGTGATGGGCACAGGCACAAGGAGCTATGTACAGAGTGTAAACAGTAAGGCCCTTGGGGGGGGCGGGGGAGGTACAGGGGGCAGGGGCAGGTGATGCAGTGTGCAAGGAGGAGTACCAGCAGGGTCCACGGGTAAATACAACAGGCTTGTAAAAACAGTCATCCATCTGCCACCAAAGCTTGCGGGTGGCGGTGACAGGTCTCCAGGTTCCTCCAGGTGGCAGTAAGGAGAAACTGTGTCCCAATGACGTTTTCCTAGGGAGGCAGTGGGGCAGCCATGCAGGCCTCCCTGCCCCTTTCTCCCCAAGAGGAGGGACAGGCCTGCCTGGCCAGACTTGGGGCTGTCTACGTAGACCAGGGTTCAAGGCATGGATGGGGCAGTGTTTCTCAAATAGGGGTTGGGAGCAAATGGCCCCCCCCCACCCAGGGTCCGCACCCCCTCCCTCCGAAAGGAGGAGCTCGGGCATCTGTGTCTAGTGGGGGCCCATCACCTTCCACCCCTCCAGGGCACCGCTCCGCCTCCCTTCCTCAGGGATGCTGGAGAGCAGCTGCCCTGATCAGTTTCGAATCCCTGATCCACACGGGCCTCTTGAACAAAGCTAGCCGCTCCTCACGTCCTCGCCCTCACCCCACCTTATCCACCTCCCCTAGCACCCCCCGCCCCGACCCAGGCCTAGCTCTGGGGGTCCTTAAATATCAGTCTCCCGGAGGTCGTCGCTGTCCGCCAGTTCGTAGGGCTGACAGGTGGCGCCCTCCACGACGTTGTGGGGGACGCCAAGGGACACAGCCTCCACCTCCGAGCGCAGGGCGCCGCTCCCGGCGCGGATCTTGTGCGACAGGCTGGAGACCTTGGCCCGCAGCTGGGTGGTGGGTCTCCGGAACGGCCCGGGCAGCCTCCACTCGCGGAAAGCGCACGGCTTTGCGCGGCCGGCGCCGGCAGCCTGCGCCTCGGGTGTGCCTGGGGAGCCTGGGGCCGCGAGCTCGGCGAGGGCCAGGGGGGCCCCGGGGAGCGCAGCACCCGGGCTGGCGGCGCCGTCGGGGCGCGGCCCGCCGGTTGAGACCCGCCAGTGGTGGCCGTAGACCCGCCAGAGGGGGCGGCGGCGCCGGCGACGCCGGCACTGGCAGCGCAGGAGGCGGAGGAAGGCGCGCTTGAACTCGCGGCTGGAGCAGGGGTAGATGAGCGGGTTCACGCAGCTGTTGAAGTAGCCGAGCCAGAAGATGACCTTGAAGACGCTCTCCGAGGGCTTCAGCTCCGGGAACAGGGAACCTGCGGGGAGCAGAGACCCACGTGGGTTAGATGTTCCAGGAGGAGGGAGGCTCAGGCGGCCCCTGGATGGTAAAGGGCGACCCTCCCCGACCTCCAGGGGCCCTGGCTAAGCGGTTCTCAACCTGTGGGTCGCGACCCCTTTGGGGGTCGAACGACCCTTTCACAGGGGTCGCCTAAATACATCCTGCATATCAGATATTTACATTACGATTCATAACAGTAGCAAAATTTATGAAGTTATGAAGTAGCAACGAAAATAATTTTATGGTTGGGGGTCACCACAACATGAGGAACTGTATTAAAGGGTCGCGGCATTAGGAAGGTTGAGAACCACTGAACTCGGGGCTCTCAAACTACTTCTCCCCAAGGGGTCCCTGATATAACTCCAGGGGGTCCATGAACTTAAATGGGGAAAAAGAGTCATCCTTAGTTTTACTCACAATACCGGAAATTGAGCATTTCCTTTAATGATGAAGGTAGGCAACAAACTGGAGTAGAATTGGGCAAAGCCATATGAAATTACAGTTTTTGTAGCTCGAAACTGGTGCAACATTGGCAGTTTCCTAAGGCTCAACCTAATATTACCAGGTCCTGTAGATATTTTTCTATCACGTTCAGTTGTTGCAGATGTTTTGAAATACTGTCTATGCGCCTCACTATTGGAGATGATGATCATTGGAACACACCTCTAGGTCTTGTTTTGTGCCTTAATGTAGAAGCACATTTATTACTATATCATAAATTTCACTTAAAAATATTTTGACAAAGGGTTCAATGAAATCTGCCTCACTGGCAGACCTTTGTATTTTATTTAGTGCAGTTGAAAGCGTGACTCTGAGAAGGGCTCTTAAATAGTCCCTAGCACAAAACGGGTATGAACTCCTGACCAACGTTGAGCAAGGCTTGCCCCATGCCAGGCACTGCGCTGAGCTCCCTTCAAACATGGCCCTGCTCCCTTGTTAGCAATGTGGATCCAATATCTTGGGAACGCAGGTGGGATCTCAGAGAATTGGCAGGAGCCAGCCAGGATAGGAAGGGCAGAGGGTCTGGGAGTAGAAAGGACAAGAGGTAACAAGTCTGGGGCCTGGGAGTGTTGTGTAGGAAAACTTGGGACAGAAGGGCCTTAAATTCTGGGAACTTCGGCTTTTATTTTATGGGCAGTGAGGAGCCATGGATATTTTTAAGCAGGTAAGAGACAGGGCCTAGAATCAAACCTCAATAAACAATGTCCATGGCTGTCGGAATGCAGGCCAGTGGGCTGTCCCAGTGGGCATGGTCAGGGAAGGCTTCTGGGATGGCTTTCAGGGAGCAGTGCCAGGCAAAAGGGGGTGGGGCTCTAGGGTCTGAGCTGTGCCAGGAAGACCTTCTCGTAAACCTCTCACCCTGGCATCTCTATCATGTCTCTGAAAAGCACCCCAACAAAGTGTAAAGGCATGATCCAGGGAGCGAAGGCCACTCTCTCAGCCTCACTCATCCTCAGCAGCAGCAGGGGCAGAGGGTAGGTGGCAGGAGTGTCCCATTCTGGGCAGAAGCTGCAGGTGCCTAAGAGGCTGAGCAGCCAGGGTAGGGGGCCTTGACAAATCGTGAAACCTGCTCGATCTTCCCCTTCCCCCCAAAGAAATAAGAGCCGGGTCCACTACTGGGGCAGGGCACTATGTCCCCCTCTTGAATGTGGGGCACTTGCATGTCACCTACCCCCATTTAGAGAATTGCGGGTGCTAAGAGACACCGTGGAGGAAGAGGAAGAGTACGCATCATTGGGCAGCATAGGCCATTCAAACTTTGGTCAAGTAGCCCTGAGTCAGTGATCTGGCTAAGTCTCACTTTCCCTTTCTGTGAAATACAGTCAATAATATTTCTCTGGCTCGGCCGGCATGGCTCAGTGGTTGAGCGTCGACCTATGAACCAGGAGGTCATGGTTCGAGTCCTGGTCAGGGCACATGTCCGGGTTGCAGGCACGATCCCCAGTGTGGGGTGTGCAGGAGACAGCCAATCAATGATTCTCTCTCATCATTGATGTTTCTATCTCTCTCTCCCTCTTACTTCCTCTCTGAAATCAATAAAAAAATATTTTTAAAAAATAATACTTGTCTGGCAGGGATTTTGTGAAGAGTCATAAATTTCAGGGTCTAGCACTTAACAAGTTCTTAATAAATACTTCTGTTACTCACGCCCCCTTGCCCTATTTCTGTGGCTTTTGAGAGAGGAGACCTCAGACCTGGAAGGGACCCACTTCCCAGCTCTGGAGAGTGGCCAGAAACAGAAGCCTCGACCTGGTAGGTTTGGGGGAGGCTGGGACATCGGTCAGGGTGTGTTAAGGAGACACTATCCCCTGGGAGAGGAGTTGGATAGTTGTCTTTGGAATATGGGGTCCACCAGGGTTGCCCTCAGCCTCCAGGAAAGCAGCCCTCGGAACAGCATCCCTCAATGGCTGAAAGTAAGACCAAGTGCTGAAAATAACGTTCTGACTCAGGCCACAATTTTTTATATTTAGCCCAGGATGACAAATCGGTGGACTATGCTTTCAGCAAGGAGTCTGAAGCTGGCCAAAGGGCATTGTTATCAGTGTGGTTTTGATTCGGATTAGTAGGCGACATGGCATACTGTATGGCCATGGGCCTTGTTGTAAACATTCACATGCTAATTTATTCTCAACCAACCTGTACAGGAGCCTGCCGCCAGCTGGGGATTCCTTACACAAAAGGAGCTGGGATTCAAACAGCCTTGCAGCCTCCATTTTTCCTACTGTGTCCTGCTGACATCCTACTTTAGGCTCCCCCAGAAGCAGGCCCCCCGAGACAAGTTGTTAATTTGGGAGGTAAGTGAATCCCAGGTAGTGGAGTGGGAAATAAGAGATAGAAAAGACAAGAAAGCCAATAAAAGCCTGGGAGCTTTGGGAGCCAGTGGAGAACAGGAACCTCAGAGTTACCCCCTCCCCTGGGGTGAGGTATCTATACACCCACTCCCATAGTTATTCCATACTTCCTGCCTACTGTGTGGGTGGGCAAGGGGGGTTCTGGGGGGCAGAGAAAGCCCCCAGGCAGAGAGACGAGGGCAGGTGCTGGGGTAGAAGTTAGCCTACTAGTGCACTGAAGGTCTAGGTCTAGGGAGATTGTTGAGGCACCGACAGCATCTGCCACAACTTTGTTTGTTTGCTCTCTGCCCACTGTGTGCAGACATCTTGCCTGGAAAAAAAGACATCTGTGCTTTGGGCGCCAGCTTCCACAAGCAGTAGCTCCCAAGAGACATTTCCTGTTTCCTTCATAGAAGGCAGAGTCTCACACCCACCTCTGCCCAGAGGCATTGTCAGCATTGTCTCTGCCCTGCTGCCCTGCTGTGGGGACATCAGTGGACAAGTGCTTCTCAGCCACTCCCAGCTTTCTCCTCCCCCAGCTACTCTTGAGTTATGGCTACTCAGGTTGACCATCTGACTCCCCTGTCTTGCCTCCTCACTCCTCTCCAGCTGCCCAGCACACACCTTTGCCAGCACCTGTAGCTCAGATACAGGAAAGCCTCAATGGACAGCTGGGGACTCTGAGACAAGGCCACTCAGTGCCTGGCAGCCCCCTTTTCTGGCTCTCTCTCCCACTCCCCACGTTGCCCACTGCCTTTCTTGTAAGCATGAAGCCCAGCTGTGCTAACTCATCTTGGCAGCCGTCATTGGAGCCAGAGGCTCACATGGCATGCCCTCCCTCACCTTCCCACCTCTCCATCCAGGAGCCCAGCATTGCCCCATAGCTCCCTTTCTTCTTGTGGTTCCTGCTTCTCTCTGCAGTCTTACTTCTGTCTTTATGTGCATTAGATAAGTGGCCACACGGACTTCTCACTGCCCTCTGGCCATAGCGGGCTCCTCAGTCTTGCCTTTGGGCTTTTGCACGTGGTCATTCTGGATGCCCTTCCTCTTTCCGCCACCTGGTAGTGCCAGCTCCAATAGTACCTCCTCCTGGAAGCCTTTCCCTGCACTCCCTCCCAAGCCAGCAGAGTTTAGTTGGACTCCCTCCTCCTCACCACTCCCCCCACCCCAGCATATCGACTCACTTCTAAATGCCAAGAACACCGCAGGTCACTATCAGTTTCCTGTCTATCTTAACCTTAAATGGTAAGCTCCCCACACCATGCTTGGCATATCGTAGATGCTCAATACATTCTGACGCCTCTCTATTGCACCCTACATCCCATCATTGCCAACTCCTATCAGTCCCAGAATCCCCCCACTGTGCACCATCCCGGAATCACCCTGGTCCCAGCACCACAGTCCCCGCTACCGCATGCAGTGCCCTTTCAAGTGGACTCCTGCCCCAGAACCCTGTTCTTCACAGCAGCTGGGGGATTCTTTTCAAACATGTCTGAGCATTTTATTTCTTCACTTAGAACCCATTTCCACTGCTGACTGCAGCTTCCCTCCCCCGTGTCTGATCTGTGCTTTGAGCTGCCAGCCCCTTGGTTTCTCCCATCAGGTCTTTCTGTTTGCTTCCTTCTTGGCTTGGCTGAGACTCCAACTCTCTTGCAATGCTCCCACATCCATGTTTTCTCCAGCCAGATCCTAACTCTGGAGCGATTCACCCTAAATACACTTAAGGTCTCGACCTCAGTTTAACATCCTTTGTTTCCAGCAGTCTTCTCTCCCCTATTCCTGCTCTAGCTCCTTTGAGCCTTGACTCTTTTCTACAAGCCTTGCGGTTGCCCCTTCACCTTCTCCAGAGCACTTGACCTCACTTCCTGTTTCACAGAGAAAACAGAAGCTAAAGAAGTTGGGGACGCGCTCAAACTTTCCTCCTCTCTCTTCCCCCTTGGTAAGAAAGGAGTCACTCCTCTCACTCATCACCTACTTGTGCTGTGGTGCTCTTGAGCCACCAGTCACCCGTGAGCTTGTCTGTCACAGCTGCACCCTCATTCTCTCCACTCTTTCCATCCACACCTGTCTCCTCTTCCCTACCTGCTTTTCACTCCACCACCTTGCCCCACAGTCCCAACCCACACAGGTCTCCACCCTGAAGACA